CCGGTGAAATATACGGCCTGTCACACTTTAAATGTGCGGTTTGATGCCCCAAAGCGTTCAAACGTACTTCTTCCAAATGCGTGATCATTTTGCTCAGTCCGCTGGCGACGGCTTCGTGTGAGCCGCGAGACCAACAACGCGCCGACTGTAAAGGCTGCAATTGAAGTTTTGTTTCTAAGGTTTACGAGCGTGCACCCTCAAAACTACGTTGCCTTATTTGTATCAGGTACCAATTCTGACTGAATTTTCAAAATTTCCATACAAACATGTCCTGGCCATGTTGATACAAATTGCTGACCCATTTCGATTTACATTTGCGGGGTTCTTAATACTCTGTACAGCCCACATAAAGATTCTGACGAAGTTTTTGAGTTCTGTCGGTTTAGGAGTCCACTTGGCCATTGTAAGATGAAAAGCGTTGATGATTTATTTCATGCAGTTGTTTCATGCATGATATCTACAATTGACTGACTACGCAATTCAGGCGGAATTGATCTCGCGGTAGCCTGTCACTTCTATTCCAGTAAGGGAATTTAAGACTGAAAAATTTCAAAGGGAAACAGGCCATATTAGGCGATTGGAAGGGGGTGGGGGAGGCGGGCTTTTACCGGCAGGTGGCCCTTTGTCAACCCTGTGTCACTTGCTTCTCAGGGCTTTGGCTACGTGCCTGCTCTGCTCAGTTGGCACTCGTTTTACCACGTAAGAGGGAGCAAACAAGGCTCTGGTAGTCGTACCCAGAAGTGCTGAATGACGAAGCCAGCATCCTGTGTCTCGACCACGACAGTGGCACAAAGGCTGAGCTTTCCAAGAGTTCATCAACGTATTACTTCGCACCTAATTTTATATTTTTTTTTACAGAAATTAGAAGCGCGTCACGCTCGCCATTTGTTCTGCGTCATGATCCGAAGGAGGCTGCCCTTGACCTTGAAACACGTCGGCGACTTGTGGGAGCGGCAACACTGCGACTCTGGCGATGACATAAGACGATGGTGCTTTAGACGGCAGCATGCATCAAATAAACATAATGGCAAAAAATGAAAATCTGCCACCGGTCTTTCTGCACTGGGACTGGGAAATACTGGAAAATAAATATTATCATGATTATCATTTCGTCTGCATTGTCGTTAAAAGTAGCTAATCTGTATCTGATGTCAAAGTATGCCTTCACATGGTTAAGATCCAGCTTTAAGGTCCCGGCCGCTTGTCGCTTACAGACACTAGTACCCGGTTGTTATAGAGCGCGCTCTGGGAGGTGGACTTGATCCGCCTAAGGTTTTTTCCAGAATGCATTTTCAAACAGTGAGATGTAGCCACGGCAAACCTGACACATCTGTAGGCAGCTGAATAACCATTCGCTGGGTTTAAAGTGGTTACATATGCTTCATAAGGTCACTGGCCTGTGGCAGGTCAAAGTCAGGCCATGGGTCTCAGTAAAGGCAATTCCAAGGGAATCTTTCAAGCTGATGCGACAGCGGATAGGTAGGCAAAGTCAAACTACATCGCAATGGTTAATTAGACAATAGGGCGATCAAAAAGAGGATCACGGCTAATTCCATTGACCCTGGGAGTGAAGGATAGATCGAGGTAAAGCCTGATCGTTTTTTATACTTGGGCAGCTTTTGTGCAATTTGGGCTATTTTGGACAGTTTTAGACGCTGTATTCAAGTGCCTTGATCGTCAGAACGTTATAAAAATTAGTTGGACTTCATAAAGGTCAGAAGAGGTCACCGACCTAACATGACCCAAGTCAACCGTTTGGTTTGAGGAACATGCCGCCTTAGGTAGTTCCGGACTCTTACTGAGATCAAAATAGCAAAACAACCCAGAAGAGCTTTGGTCATCTTGATCTCCTTAAGATCATATAACATGACACATTCAATTTAAAGAAGAAATATTTCTTTTGAGCAGGTATCCAGGTAAACGCTGGTCGCGTGAGGAGATCTGAACGCGCTTCATGCACACATCTCGTATTTAACCTTGTTTGACTTTATCAGGCCCGAATTCATGCTCTAGGGACCTACTATTTTTATAAAAAACAATCACACATATATCACAGCTTTAAACTGTGAATGTGCTGCATCTAACTCTCTTTTTATATCTTGAGTCAAAATGACCGCCTTTAGAGTGTTTCGTACTGAGCCGGTCACTCGAGGGTGCGTTAGATGGCGGCACAAGCAATCGCCAAAGATGGCAGCACAAGACGCAGTAAATAAGCGCACCTCGAGGGATGCATCAGTGACCATTCGTCTGATAAACTGCCCGTTTTGTCCTTTGGAGACAGCTGAGATCTGTGTGGAGGTTGAGTTTGACAGCATTCTAGGCGTATCTCGCACACGAATGGACCATACAGCGGTTTCGATCTAACCCAGCGTGAATAAGCAGATCAGAGGCTGGCACCAGACGCCCCTTGTGGCGCCTCAGCAGAAGCTAGTGCACGTCACATTCGTGCTGCCCGGTATCATTTTCACCTGGTGGGTCAGCAGCTGTCTAAAAGGTTGTGGATATATGTGACCTTGCATCTCTTCGTGGCTTGAGTGCTTTGTTCTCCTTTCACAGCAATGCTTGACGGGGACTCTCAATGCTAGGGCCAAACCACAGTAAAGTGCAATCAGTCCCGTACTCACACCTACGAGTCATCAGTCCAGTGCAGTGTTTGTGTCCAGACACATCCTTCACCTGTGTCTCGTGGCATATATTGTGTGGCTTGTGTCAGGAAGGTCCTGGCCGATAAGACGCCTGGTTCGGCGCGAGAGGATATGGTATAACATGTTTGCGTGTCATTGGAGCTCAACGACGCACTCAGCTGCTGAGACTATATGGCATTGCCTGTCTCTCACCCTGGCAGGAAGCGCGGCCACCACGGCAATCGAACCTCCAACCTCTGGTGTTCCGGATGGTAACAGATATTAGAGTGCCGTTGTCATGCACAAGATCTAGATACATTCGGCAATCGATCTTACTAAGTTAGATCAATGCGTTGAAAAGCCTACCCCGATAAAAAGCAAGACAAAAGTGTAATGAAAACAAACGGGAACTCACCAGCAGCGGTGTTAATTTCTCAAATCAGTTGGGGGCTCAGACGAAGTGGTTGACCTAACCGACACCCACACACCGATTTATTATTGGATTTCTGCCACTTGAATTTGTGTTCTCGGTGAAGATGAAAAGGTCTAGTGATACGCAGATTTCTTTTTTTCTGCTGAGAAATGACCTCCAAAGTCGAGCTCGTATAGGATGGGTATGCAATCTACAGAGAAAAACATCTTAGTAAATCTCAATAAGGAATCACTGAATACCCCCGAAGCTACGATTATGCAGCATGAATACCCTTCCGCTGTTGGGATACGAATGCGCTAATTTTAAGTGGGCCGCACTACACTTTTACAGGCTGCCACACCTTGCAGTCAATTGTTCTTCATCCCAATGTAAGCGTTATTATTTGAAAATCGCTGTGCGACATTTGCAGACTGGCTTAAGATGAAGGAGTTGGAAAGACAGATATTAGGTACCTACAGGATATTTGGCACAAAATCAGCCTGGTACCAATTAACGGCGATGTGTTTAGGTATCCACAATCTAGTATACCAATAGTTAAGATAATTGCTCCGTGTTGATTTGGCCCAGCATTCTCCCTTTCTTCATATGCATTGATGGGGCTCAGAGGAGCATTAGGGGGGGGGGGGCTCAAGCCACATTGCGGGGGCTAACACCTCCCCCCTCCCGAAAATGCATAAAGTGAGATCCTTATCCACTGATGTAGCAAGCACGCTAGTGGAATTTGAAGTTCCTGAACGGTCAATAAACCGAATTTCTTTTGTCAACATGCGAATTTAACAAACGGCAGTAAGTCGAATACAAATTCGTGGAATGGCTAAATTGACGAATTCATTATGCAGGGATGTGAACTAAACGATTGTAATTCTCAGAAGGGATAACTTCCGCAGACGATAAGGGGCCATGAATAAGTCAATTCAAAATTGACGATTTGGTCATTGAAGTTATCTGAAGTGATGACCGTCACAGACGGTAAGGGGCTAACCATAAATAGTGTCCTGCAATGGCAAATGGGGTAGGGTTGGTAAAGCGCAACCAATATTGCTAAGGACATTGAATAACGATGGGAACCCGTATGACAAAGGATGAAAATGGTTGGTTCTGCAAGTTACCAAAGATACGCTACGTAATTTATGGACCGCTTTTACAGATTTCCACTGCCTAACGGAACAAGATACAAGGGACCATATCGTCGCTTGACCCCTAATCGAGATCTAAGTACGGAATAAAGCCGGTTGCCGTGGATCTGAGAAACACAATGATAGCCATTTTGTCACCACCGGTCAACCAGCAACTGCTTGGGTCAGACCATTATTCACGCGTGCGTGAAAGAGTAGATTTTGGGAGGTTTCATCAACCCTCCCTTCCCCATATCGGGCTCTGGCCTTTACTCCCAACTTTGAGAGAAAAGGGGGCCAAAAGCCGTGGAGAGACCCGTTTGCTAGAGGATTTCGGGAGGTTCATAAATGTTCACGGTTCAGCCCCCTCCTCACACGCACATTCGCTTTGCAAAACCACGCCCCTGAAGAATCCCTTCTTTATTTTATATTATCATGATGTTCGCTCTCACTCTCTATGGCCTTACGAAAAGAGGCAAAACAATACTTCATCTGCCGCAGTTCCTCAAACGATCCTCTCCGCTGCCCCCAGACCAGTAACAGCTCGGAGCGCATTGGGCCTTGGCTCACGCTAGCGGCTAGCTGTGTCCTAGGGTCTTTCTGGAGCTATTGTCCCCGCTCCCGGGCTCTGCACAGTCACGAGCCACCACCGCTGAATGGGCGACAGACGTAAACGTAACGCCATATGTACGTCGGCCGCGAGTGAGTCTCCAAACAAGAGAAGAAAAGCGTTATAGCTTGACGTTTGACGCAGTCGCGCCATAAATGTATATTATTTGGGGTACTCATACGCGTACTTTGCTGGGGGAAGTTATGCGTGAACAGAAGACGGCGGGCGAGTCGGCTGGTGCTGCCCACGGGGTTTAGTTCTACTAAAATGTTGTGGACATCTGTGTAAAAATGGTTAATTGTGCTGTGACCACCTGCCAAAATGTGTTTGATGGTAAAAATAATGTAAATTGCAGAAGTTTCTTTGTGTTTCCTAAAGGCGGTGAACTACGAAAAGCTTGGGCTGAAAGATGTGGGTTACAAGAATCTGATCTGAAGGAATCTGCTCGTGTATGTTCAGATCATTTCGCGGAGTGTGATTACAAACCAACCAAAAAAAGAAAATTGCTTCTTCCGGAGGCAGTGCCTTGGGTGGACGTACCTGGGGCAGGCATCGTTCTGATTATAAGGTTTGTGTAGTTTCACGTATGAGAGCTTAAACAGCCTTCTCTTCACACCACTGTAAATACAAGACAATTTTGACTCTTCCTAACCTTATGTGATGATGATATATTTCAGTATCAATTTTGCAATTTGCAATTGCTTCTGGTTTCCCAGCTTCCATCCCATTGGCCGTCATCATGTGTTATTCAGTCCAGGGAAAAGCTAGATTATGTTTGACTTACAGTGATGTACATGTTGTGGGTCGAGTTCTTTCCTTAGAACTGCTTGGCTCTGAATCAGACTTGTATGGTTGATTCAGGAAGCCCCATTGTAGAACTACCGTTTATGGGTCATAACTAGCATGCAGTTAGGCACTCATGTGTGCATGTCTCTTTCCAAATAGTTGTTACGTGCTGTATTACCAGGTTCTTTGCTTTGTCTTACTGTGAACAGGTTGTCCATTGTTGCTGGACTTGTATTGGGGTGGAAGTATTTAAACAGGTGTCACAGACTAAACCATCTTTAAAGGCTATAGATATGTGCATGGAAAATGTTGCTTAATAGGTTAGTTCCATCACTTTGTAGTAAAACTGTGAGGTTGCTGCTTCTCAACATATCAGCAATGATGACTGTAGAGCAGAATTGTTCTGTCATACTATCATAATGGTTTGTAAGCTTTTCAACATTATATGGTGAAACCTAACATTTTGTAACCTAATATTTAACCTAAATTAATGTTATGAACATGATTTATAGGTCAAAGTCAATTTTCTTACCTAAACATTATTTGGTTGGGCTGTTTCCTATGTTCAGGCAGTTTTTTTGGTATTTATTTGGCATATCGAGGACATTTCTCTTCTTCAACATTCCTCCCTGTCCAGACACTGGCACTGTACAGACAGCTGGGCGGTTTCAGGCCTGCAGAGCATGGTCAGAGTGCCCTGTTTGAGAGGGCGAGGACTGGTGGTTCCCAGCAGGACTGGCAGCAGGGAGCAGGACCCAGTGGGATGACAGCTGCCAGCAGGCACCAGCCAGAAAACAGGTGAGCATGTCCCCTGTGTTTATCTGTACCCATCCTGCCTGTGTTGGGCTCTTGAAGAAGTTGTATCACCTTGAATATCTCATCTCTATGATTATGTATATATACATTGAGTCCCAGGGCAGGGGAGCAGGCACATTACTTGGCCCAACTTATATAGAGAGATCAAGTTATATTGAAAGGTAGATTGGCAACTGAGAGGTCCCATTTCAGCTGGTGTGCCCAGCATTTTGAAATCCCCTCATAATCCTGCCTGCAAATGGGCAGAGGCAGCTATTTGTGGTACTGCATGGCATGACTAGGATAGTGTAGGATCAGTGCACACATGACAAGGCCTGCAGTTAGCAGGCAGGCTGAGAGTATGAACGCAATGTCACCCATGCAAACCGTTCATATGTTTTGTTAAGAATTGGGATTAAGTTGGGTTGGTGGAAGGTGTTTTAGATGTGTCTGGTAATTATGTTCTTTATTTGATTTTCTTGATGTGGGGGACAGTAATTACCACCACAGTGTGACCTTAATGAATGAGTCACAGCTTCTTCATGGCATATTGTTGCATGACTTTCTCTCTGTTTTTTTTTTCAAGCTATCATTATCTGTGGTAGTTTGGGTTAGAATTTTATGTAATGTTTTGCAAACCTTTGCCATAGCACTTTCATTTCATTCCCTCCCCATTCAGGTAATATTCACCATTTTATTATCAAACCTTTGCATCTCATCCAGTGGCTCTTACTGGCTGTGGTTTTCCAGAGCTGGTACCAGTTTGAAGGACATCCCTGAAGGCCATGCAGGTGCCCTCTCCACCTCATCTCGCATCCAAACGCAACCAAACGACGTCCATCACCAAAGGTATCACATGGCGTGGGCTCTCGATGCGGCTTTGTTGTATAATTTTGTCTGTTCTTGTGTCTGTTTGGCATCATCTGTGGTCAAAGGTTCACTCAATGGGCGATTCACATGTTTAAATTATGGGGAATGTGTAAACCATGTTCTGCCCTGGACCCGGCGCCGAAAGAAGTGGATGGCTAGGCTCTAAAAGCATGTGACACTGGTATCGATATAGCGTTGAATAGGATAGTGTTATTTGTCATGCTGAACACTACCGTTCTCCTCATATCACCAGTGGAAGGGCCACGCCAGTGTCCCCGCCGTGCACTCCCCTGCCTCGCCATCAACCCCCGCTTCTGCTCGCCGCCTGACTGCCCCGACCGTGCCGGCAGCGGCGCGCGGAGGACACCGCCTGCGGGGCTGCGGCTGTGGCGCGCCTCCGAGACCACGCTCCGCTTACAGAACCGCCGGCTGCTGGCGGACAACCAGCGGCTGCGGCTGCGCCTGCGACAGCTGCACCGCCAGCTGGCCCGCCGACGACCGGTGGCGGCGCGCCCGGCCGGCGGAGGACGCGGTGACGCACGCGCCGCCACGCGGGAGGCGTAGGCTGCAGTAGGACGCGGAGTGCATAGAGGGCGCGACAGACGAAGCGTTGGGATTCGGGCATGGATGGCGTGGGGGGCAGGAAAACAAGAGGCTTGTGCGCTGGGATTCCGCGTCCAAATCGGGAGGGGTTCAACAGCTGAACATGGGGAACTGCGAGTTGTCGCATGGCGATTGCGATGGGGCTGCCGGATGTGCTGGTTGAGTGGCGTCGGTAGTCTTGAGTCATCACAACGCGGGCGAACAAATCTGGCTCTCGGCCCCCTGGAATGAACTGGGCTGCCATATGTGTCTCCGAAACTGACCAAGGGTGGCATCCAGAAAGGCCTAACATCAGCACCAGCTGCGTCGGCCCGTGATCTTTGTCTCGCCAGCTGTTTGCGCTGAGGCCTATTACCCTGGTGCGTGAATACGGATTGATAGCGCCCCCCCCCCCCCCCGTACTCGCATGCCTGCCTACATGACGGTGTCAGCTCTGTCGACCTCCGCAATGACCGAACGTTTCGATATCGTGACTCTCGTGCGATATGAACTCCTAGGCTGTGATATTTGGTACGCACGACCATGTTTGTCCCGGGAATACTGAGGGCTGTTATGTGTTCGTCTGGGCGGAAATTTATTGTGAGCCTCACAGAGTTCATATATATATATATATATATATATATATATATATATATATATATATATATATATATATATATCGGCAGCAGCTTACCTACAGGACTTCCTTGTTCCAAAAGAGCAACGCATGAAGAAATGCGCACCTCTCCATCACGATCGTCGTGGCCGAAGATCCCTCGGTATGCAAACATTTTTCTGTTCCAATTTCTGTCTTGAGTCAGTCGTGAGCGAACCTCACTCTTTGGTAATGTTACCCTTCCAAATAAAGGAACGTTTTCCATACAGACCTCAGCCTAGGTGGTTGACCCATGCAACGCACAAAGAACTTACATGGCTTGTATGAGTCGCTTAACTACAGCGGTAAATTTACGATTGGAATCGCTCGCGAGAGTGACGGTAATTCGATATCATTTACATTAAGTGATCGAAAATTTCATCCTACGTTTACGGTAAGCGCCCGGCGTGCTAATTTGGAGATATGCGATTTTTGCATTATTTTTGCAATTCTAGCGCCAGCACGATGAGAACAGCGCATGAACCTGCAAATGGAAGCGGACACCTGTACCCGTCCGGACGCTTGTCAAGTTTGATCGATATGGAATAAAATTTGACGTCAGGTGATACTCAACATACATAAATGGCTGTCACGTGTCGTTATTCGGGGGGATAAAACAGTACATCAAACAAGGGAAAGTGGTAGGGGATAAAAAGAACAAACGCATGCACGCATACACAGCATGAGACAACCTTACCGCACAAAAAAGGACCTAGTAACGCTCTTAATTGTTCACAGTGGTCGAACTTCCTCGGGCAAGTCATGAGATACGCCGCTCGGTATGCAGACGACCGCCGCCCTGCCGCCGTGTACACCGCTAGGGGCGCAGGTTATGGCCCATGCGGGTAGTTTGGTCACTGGTCCACGCGTCAGCGTATGTTTGGAGCAAACTGACAAGGCCCTCAGGTTCATCTCGCTCACGGGCTCCGTGTGCAGCGACAGCAATTTATGTGACGCATTCGGCGAGGCGTGGCAAAGTGCAGGTCATCTCGCGTGCAAGACGCGTGGTCAATTTTTTCGTAGGCCAGTACCTACTCTGGAAGTGAAGTTAACTACTCTAAACTCACCCCTGGCCATAAACCGAAATGCAGTATCTTGCGCGCGAGATGACTCAAGCCTGCACGGTGGTCTGCAGTACTCGTTGCAGGAGGAAAGTCAGGTGGCGGGACCGATCAGGGCGCATTCACATTCACACATTCACATTCGCATTCGCGAGCCACATTCCACCCATTCACCGATTAGAGTGAGGCTTGGCCCACAGATAAAGCTAAGTACACCATATAGAGCCAGTTACACCATATAAAGGTCAGTAAGTGCGATATAAGAAAGAACAGAATTACAAAAGATTAAAGTTCAAGGTCGTTCAAGGCCACTTATTAGTAAATATACGTGAACTCCGCAGATATCGACCAAATTTGGTATGTTGATAAAACAAAGCATCCTAAACAATAAAATCATACTCTCCAACTGCGACATTCGAAATTACGCCTGAGAAAACCGTGGGAGTACAAGGTCACCCCTAATCGGATTCCTTTGATTGCTTTGAAATTTGACACAACCATCCACGTCGCATGGCTCCGTCCAGCCTCCAAATGTTATAATGTAGCATTCAAACGTTCATCTTTCAGAGACCTTGGAAGCGACAACCTCACACGGTTGGCATATAGACATTGCGTGCAAGCCAAAAGTCAGAAAGACTCCTTCGATCTGTTCGAAACTAATCGACTGCAATCAATTGCAAGATATTGCGGTCTCAAGATATTGAGAACAATCGCGTATCATGTACGTGTACAGTTTTTCATTAAGTGACAATCTGTGACATTTAAACTGACGCATTCCGGAGGCTCTGAAACCGGTAGATATGTGACACATCTATAAAATGACACAAGCAGCGTCCTTACAGGCCACCAAGACCAAGGAATGTTGCACAACACATCCTGTAGGATGCATGCGCTGCCCCTCACGGCGCCGGCGCGGCGCTCACACCACACTCTCTGATCTCACACCCAGTCACCATACTGCTCGACCCCCTCTCGACCGCTCTCCCTCCCCGTTACCGGCCATGGCCACGGGAGCCGGCACCTCAACAGCCAGAGCGTCGCCATCGTCGCCCGCGTCGCCGCTGGAGCGCCGTTGCGCCGGCGGTGGCGACGCGGCGAGCTGCAAGCCGCGCACGTGACGAGACACGCCATCGATCTCGACGTTCTGCGCGGCGACGGTCCTGGTCAGCGTGCCGATGGAGCTCGCGACCACGCAGCGTCGATTGGGGTGCCGAACCCGCTCACGATCACCGATATTGAAGCGGTAAGCGCCCTCCGATCGCTCATTCTCCCCCATATCGCTGATTTCAAGCAGTCTGATCTCGTATCGGAATAGCCAGTTGGCGAGGGAAGAGGAAGGCTCGTCGCTTCGCAGCATTTCGTTGGAGGGATAGATGGTTTCCATGACAGCAACGCTTCCGTAACGCTCTGGTGTTCACCGACCGGTGACCCCGCTCCGATGTCCCTTTGTCAGGCGGAGCATGCGCACAACGATGTCTCGCGTCCATGCCCCAGCGGCTGGCGAACCCGCGGAGCCCTGAGCTGCGAAGGCTGGTGGCGTTGTAAGTCAACAGCCCCCTCAGCGCGCTATGCTCGAACACCGACTTGAGCTGCCTGACAACACAGGTCCTGTCCTGACATCTGAGCCGCCTCCAGATGGGGTGCCGCGGTGGTCCGCAGTCGATGAGAGTCAGGAAGTGCTGATCTCTGAAGGTGGCAGGTGCCCATGCTGAGCCTGCTCCAGCACCCGGCGACTCCCAGAGACCCTTTCTGCCACCTCGCACGCGCCGGATCGATGGACTGGCGCGCCTGATACCCGCGTGCGACACTGTAGAGCTGCATGCGCGCGACTGACGGATACAGTCATCTGCCGGGCTGCAGCGTGCACGTGATGCCAGGGCACTCGCTGGTTTCGTGGACGGCAGCGATGTCTGGCTCGGAAGCAGAGATGACGGCTCCAAAACCAGCCGGCTGGCTAGTCACAGGAGCGGGTCGCTGTCATATGACACGTCATGTGAGAGACGATGTATACATGCATCCCACAGGATGTATTGTGCAGCACTCCTTAGTTTTGGTGGCACATTACGACGCTGTTTGTGTTGTTTTATAGAGATGTTCTAAATCCCATTGCTTAAGAGCCTCTGAAGTTCGTAAATGTAGACATCACAAATTTTGTTTAACGAAAAACTGCACACGTACATAATACGTGTTCGTGCTTAATTTCAGGGATCAAAAAAGTCTCGCTGTCTTTTACTGGCATGCAATGTCCACATGTTAACACGCGCGAGGTTGTTATTTCCAAGGTTTGAATGTCTCTGGAAAAAGGACGCTTGAATGCCACAATCTAATATTTGGTGCCTGGGTGGAGCCATGTGACGTGAATGTTTGTGACAAATTTCGCATCATCGTAAAGTCATGGCACGATGCGTGGCTGTCGTAGTGTCGTTGACACCCGCTTACATGACTCGAAAATGCGTTTTTTCATAACCGTAAAATCGTCCGTTTTGTCGACTCTTGTAAACAAGATGGCTGTCATGTTACTGCGGTGGCAAAGAGGGCGAGCACTGCTGGCCCCGCGCCTGAAATGTATTTTTTTCAACAGCCGTGTGCCCCCCAAATTACATTATTAACTGGCAATGCATGCCAGTAAATAATGCAATCCCCAACTTCACGCGATGACAATGAGCTTGCGTGCCAACAAGCGCGGTCACCATCCATGACACCATTATAAAAGCCCAAGGGAAGGTCATCCAACGCCGAAGGCGATCGAAGATACGTCCCGGGCGGGCCTGCTCAGCAACCGCCGCCGTTCGCCTGGCAGCAGCTGCCGCCCACCTGGCAACGGCGTGTGCCGCGCCGCTGGTAGCCAAGGCCCTGGAAGCAGGGCGGTCATTATGTCCATTGGAGAGTGAGGAATGCGGCCAGTGTAATGGATATCCGCGGAGCGCTGGCGGCCGCAGCGCGCGCTGAGAGGTTCGGGGCCCGGCGCGAGTGCTGGACGTCGCGGCAGGCAGTGATAGGCTGGCTGGAAAAGCGCGCCATGGACTGCATAGACAATTTCGCAGTTAACGCGTGGGGGCTCTCCCACTTAGTCTGCGGTGATGACCGAGGCCTAATCAGGTGCGAGCTGCCTCCCGGCGCTGTCCTCCTGGCGAGTTCCCGAAGTCGCCCGAGGAGGTAAAGCAGGCTAATGG